CACCCGAGCTCATGCGCATAACGCAAAGAGAAGGCGAATCCTTGAAGAACTACATGAACAGGTTCAATGACGCCATGCTGGAGGTCAACGCCTTCGATGAAGCAGTGGGAGTAACTGCCGTGATACAAGGCCTCAACCATGATCGGTTTCGAGATAACTTGATCAAGAACACCCCAACCACTTTTGACGAAGTCAACCAGAGATCCCTCAAATTCATTAAGGCTGAGGAGTACGTCCTCTCCAAACCCCAGCCCCCCAAAGAAGCTAGAACCCCCACTTGGAGAGACGAAAGCCAGAGCAGGAAGACGTTCAAATCCACACAGAACCGAGGCCCAATTCCGGTTCCCAAGCTAGATAGGCCCGGCTCCAACACCCCACAAACGCGGCCTACGCAGCCCTCATGGACCTCCTTCACAATTCTGAGGTCGCAAATTCTCATGCAAATTAAGAATAAGATGGAGATGAGGAGACCAAACCCCCACAGAGCCCATCGGCAAGCAGAGACCACACCAGATACTGTGACTTTCATCAAGATCATGGACATACCACGGAAGAGTGCAAAAGTTTGAAGTTCAAGCTGGAAAGCTTGGCCCGAAAAGGAATGTTGAATGAATACATCCAGAGCAGAAGTTTGCCAAAGTTTGTCAAAGAACAGGGGCAACCCCAGGGGTCTCGAGCACCAAACAACAGAGATGGAGTAGGATACCAGCAAGCACCGCCACCTCTCCCACCCCCATCCAGAATTATACACATGATAACAGGTGGACTCGAAGCAGGTGGCATAAGCGCCAAACAGCAAAAGCTGTACGTAAGGGAGGTCAGACACCATAATGCAGCCCAGAAAAGGAAGATCGACGAGGAGGAATGGAAAAACCAATCTGTGACATTCACTTCGGCCGATCTCGAGGGGGTCGTCACGCCCCATAACGACCCATTAGTCACCTCGGTCATCATTAACAACTGCGAGGTCCAGCGAGCGCTCGTTGATACCGGCAGTGCTCCAAATATAATGTATTACCATTGCTTTGAGAGCCTTGGACTCGACCCGGCCCTCCTACAAAAGTATGACGGGCCCATCTACGGGTTCAATAATCAGCCGGTACCTGTGGAAGGAGTGCTGCGACTCAATGTGGCGTTCGGCACTAGGCGGACGTACGTAACACCCTCAGTTAGATTCCTGGTAGTGAAGATGGCTTCATCTTTCAATCTCGTCATCGGAAGGCTGACTTTGACCGAGATTCGGGCTATAGTGTCCCCGACCCACCTCTGCA